CTCATGGGCTTAATCTTTTAACAGCTTTATTGAAGTATAACTGATATACAAAGAGTTTTATCTATTTGATGTCTGTTGTATGATGAGTTTAGACTTACAGTCCACAAAAAAACTTTCTTAAAGCTAGTTAAACTAATTCAGCAAAATGGAAGAATACAAAATCAACATATAATAATCAGTTGCCTTTATATATACTAATAACAAACCATATTACAAGCAAATGAAGAAAACAATCCTGCTTGCAATAGCATAATAAAGAATGAAACAATTAAGAATAAATTTAACTAAAGAGATGCACAACTAATACATTGATGATAAGAATTAAAATAAATTTAAAAATCCAACATTCATTGATTGAGAAATTAAATATTTTCTTAATAAATTATTTTATGAGGATATATTCATTATGCAGAGGAAGGATTCATAGTGACAGTTCAGATTATGAGAAATTTAATACTATTAAAATAGACATTCTACCTAAAATAGCCTACAGATTCCCATGTTAATTTAATGCTATCCTCATAAAAATCTCAATGGCCTTTTTTAAATAAAATGAAAATAGGAAACTATTCTAAAATTCACATGAAACCACAAAAGGCCCAGTATAGCCAAAACAATGTGGAGAAAGAAGCATAAAGTTGAAGATGTAATACTTTCTAGTTTCAAAATAATTATAAAGATTCCTAAGTAAAGGTAATATATATGTCAATTAGCCGGAATTAATCATTCCACAGTGTGCACATGTATTATAATATCACATTGTATGACATGAACACCTATAATTACTTTCAAATCTAAATTAAAAAAAAAACAGCACAGGACTGGCTTATACTGTTCAGAACAGAACAGAAAAGAGAACGCAGAAATAAAACACACCTGTGTTCTGTCATCTGATCTTTGACATGATTTCTGTTGGCTTAATTTTGCCCAGGATCCAAAGATTTTTAAAAAAGTTTGGTAAAGACTTCACAGGTTGTTGGTTAAGAACCTATTTTCAGGCAATAATGTACCTGCTCCCAGTGACTTGGACACAGATAGGTTTAAACTTTTGAGACAGACTGGTTAGGCAAACCCAATGTATTTTACCTTCTGGGGTCTTTCAATACAGACTGCACATTATCGTTATTATAATATGACATCATTCCTAGAAGTTGCTTCTCTTCCGCTGAAGTCTGAGTAGATTTCAAAAGTCTGTTAATTGGAAGAGTTTGTGATTTCATTTTGAGAAACACATTTAAATAACAGAATTAGGTTATCTCTGAATTTTTACTAAGTTGGGCATAAATAGATTTTTTACAAGTTATGAAAATGTCATTGTCTTCAGTCTATTTGTAAAAAAATTTTTTCTTTCACAAAGAAAACTAATTTCACTTGCTTAAATATATGATAGGAAGGCTTACTGATGTTACTTGATAATCATAAATATCCTTGGAACTTTAACATATATATATTATATATAACTATAGCAGTATTGATCATTATAGTTCTACTTTTTTAATTTTTTGCTTTATTTATTTATTCATTTATTCATATGTGCATACATAGTTGTATTTTTTAAAATTTAAGCTTGAGGAAAACTTTAAAAAATTTTTTGCTTTGTGATCTTAATATAATTCCTTAGAGATATAGAGCCAAATTGATGTGGCTTAAATTCATTTCAAACAGTTACTATCTCTAATATATCACCAGCTTGGTTAGTGATTATGATCAATTTATACTTGGATAATCTTTTTTTGGTGGTGCTGTGGTTTGAACTCGAACCTTGCACTTCCTAGCAATGCTCTTCCACTTAAAACAAGCACCAGCCCTTTTTTGCTTTACCTTTCAGCTGGGATCTTGTATTTTTGCCCTGGCCAGCCAGGACTGCAATCCTTCTGTTTATACCTCCCACATCTCGGAGATGACAGATGCATAGCCCACCAAGTCTAAGCTCATTTGTTGAGATAGGGACTCACTATCTGTCAGTCTGGACTGGTCTTTGAACCATGATCCTCCTGATCTTTGCTCCCAAGTAGCTATGATTCAGGCATCAGCCACCATTGCCCAATTTTGCTGCCAATTTTTAGGACTAGTATTTTTGTTCATTTAAAGTTTTACAAAATACTACATGTACCCGTATTTACTGGACAAATTCTCAAAATGATCCAGGTCAGAGTCTGTAAATGACCAAGGTCATAAAACAAATTGAGAAAAGCTCATTCAGAAATAACTTCCTGAGCTTTCGCAAGAGCAGTGGGGGCTGTTCCCATCTCTCCCCTAGCTAGATGATAATTTGGATGAGTACCAACAGTCTTGCTGTTACCAGAAGGGCAGACCCAATTTAGAACTCCACAGAAATACCTCATGCCCAGAGAAGTTGTAGGAAACAACTGACATTGGTGGCAAAAAGCAAAGCAAACATTGCAACTGCCAAGAGTCTCCAATACTGGCTGAGGCAAAGAACAAACCAGGTAAAATTTAATAAAGACATCTGGGAAATAAGACAAACATAATGGACTTTGCTTAGTTCCCACTTATTTCCAGAGGTTGTAAGGCTGCATATTGTGCTTAAAGAGAGGTCAAAGAAGTCCAGAGATATCTAACTGTCATGGTTAAAAACAAGACATTGCACACAAGAGAAAGAACATCTCAGGGCAGACTTATGAACTGCTCAAGCAGTGGACATGTGCCCCAACCCACACAGATGTCCTCAGTAGAAGAAAAAAGCCAACTGGCTTAAGGCATTAGGCCACAGTACCTACTACTAAACCACACTGGAACCCAGGAGTGACACTTAGAAAGCCAGGGTTAATAAGGAAGAAATGGAGGAAGGATTGCATTGAGTCCTGGGATTTGAGATGAAGACATAGGCAATTACATATTTAAAAAGAAATAAAAAGTGAGCAAAAGTCATCAGACTACAAACTGTAGGCAAATAAAACTACAAAATTTGTTCAAAGAAGTAACTAAATAAGACACACAAGCATGGCATGATAGCACACATACTATCAAGTTTAAGTCTAGCCCATGTAAAAGTTTAATAAGACTACTTCAGAAACAAGTTGAGGATGGTGGTACATACTGTGGTCCCAGGCTACTTGGGAGGTTAGAGGAAAGCTCTGCCACAGTTCAAGGCCAGCTTGGACAAAGTATGTGTGACCCTATCCAGAAAAACTAATTAAAGCCAAAGGACTGGAATGTAGCTCCAGGGTAGAAGGCTTGCCTACTAAGCACAAGGCCCTGAGTTCAATCCCCAGTACTGAAAAAAAAAAATACACAGAAAGCAAAGTCAACAAAATGTTTTTATTCAAAGAGTTTCAAAATAGAAACAACCCAAATGCTCATCAAAGAACAGAAGATTAAAAAATTACAGCATTACTTGCATGGATTCTATTCAGCAATACAAAAGAAAGGTTATTATGATATACTCAAGAACATTATTTACTTGCATAACTATATGTTAAATGAAAACAAAGTCAATACAAAAATACCATACCTTATTCCCATCTTTAAAAAATTATAGAAAAACAAATCTAATTCACTTGGCTCAAAGGTCACTAGATGCAAGCTGCAGGGTTAGAGACTGTGGTCTTTTTATGTGAATGTGTACATTTATCAAATATATGAAACTGTACACTTAAAATAGATGTGTTTTCTGGAAATTTTACATAAACATTGCTGATTCAAAAATTTTAAAAAGAAACAAAAACATACTGCAAGAAGGATGTATAATTTGAAGAAGAAATCATTGCAACTCCTTGCTCCTTTTTCTTTAACCATTCTGTGAAATGTCTGTGCCACTGTCCTTTGTGTGACTTGCATATTCTCTTCTGATTAGAACAATCTAGAAAGAGTTGACTCTGTATTTAGAAAAATAGTGTGTGAAACAGCTAAGCTGTATTTTTCCTTAAAAGGTTTAGAAAGAAAACAAGGCACTAAAGGATGCTAAAATTTCTCAGCTAATAAACATTTAAAAAGAAGAGAGGCATCAAATGTCCAAAGTTACAATGTCAGGAAAAACATGAGGATAAAAAAACTATGAACCAGAGGACAGTTGACAGTTGAAGTGTTCTCTGGGTTCAGAGGGTGGAAAATATGCTTCCCTCTCATGGCTAAGAAATATTCTTTTATTAATTATTATTGTTGTGAAATAGTATTTTATTTTAAATTTTTATTGTAGACTGGGGGTACATTGTGACATTTACAAAAGTTCTTGCAATGTATCGTAATTGAATTTATCCCCTCCATCATTCTCCTTTATCCTCCTGATCCCATTCCTGGAATAGTTTCATTTTTCCATTTTCATTTATGAATACATAATATTTTTACATATTAACCTCCTATACCTTTTCCTTATGTCTCCCCCTCAACTGGTACAACCCCCCCAGGCAGGACCCATTTTGCCTTCCTGTTCTCCATGTTTATTTTAAAATGACCTTTTTCTATGTTAAGATAGCTATGCGGGTTTTCCTGTGTAACAGTTCCATATATAAAAAAGTATTATTAACCTGAATTGATTTGTCCCCCTATTTTTCTCATTACTACTTTAGTCCCATCTTATGGTGATTTCAACAGTTTAAAATTCTATATTCACTCTTATATAGGAAATACATCAACCATATTCACCTTTCTAACTTTCAAGAAAAATTTCCAAAGGAAATGACATCAAAATGGGCTTTGTCAGTTGAGCTATTAAAAATGGAGATGTTATTCAATTCAGAGTTACAGAAATTAAATTGGCTTATATTAGCAAGTAATTATTAGACAAAAAGAAAAAATGACTTAAATAGATTGTAGAGAGGATGTATCACTGTGCTTTTCTAAGTTCCTGGGCTGTTGGGTTCTCATTACGCATTATGCATGCTGATGCATCTCATGGGATATTCCAATAAGAACTGTAAAAGAATATAAATGAGAGAAACCTGGGTAAATGGGATGTGATGACTGAGAATTAGGTGTTTTCAAGGGAAAAAAAAAGCTAAGTGAGTTAACAGTGGAATATGGAATAAGAAATTGGGAAAGACAAGGAATGCAGAGAACTCACCATCGCTTCTTAAACAATAACATGAGGACTATCAAAAGGATCAAAGGCACTATCACTGCCAAAGAGATCAAGCTCACAGAAAGACGGCGTCCTGTGAATGTTAGAGACATACATTTCATCTGGAACCCACTGATGATTTTACTTCATCTGCTGATTTCCTTACTTAGTATGAGCATTGGGTATAAGCCACATCAATCAACGTATTTCAGTCACTCTAGTCCCATTTTTATCCAAGGAAAGATTCCTTATCTTCCCCAAAAATCTTCCTTGTCTATTTGTCTCTCATGTCCCACTCTTCCATTTCTACCTGTTCATTTCTACCTGACATCCCTCATCTAGATCTGGCATAACCAAACTTTCATATTTCCTACCCCTATTCTTAATGACTACCTACTCACACTTCCAAACCCAGACTTACCCCAATAGAGAATGATATCCTGGTCTCCTAGACTGCTGTGCCTCACTCGACAGGACAAGCCAGCAGCATCCTCAGCTGCCACATCCAGGTTTGCCCGAAGATACCAAGTCCCATCAGCATGGGGAAAAGGATCTTCATGTTTGGTGCCCAGTTGCTCCTGCTCATCCCTCATCCACATCACCCAAACAGGCTTTGGGTAGAAGCCAGAGACATGACAAACCAGCAATAGTCGGCCAGACTTAAGGGTGGAGTGGCCTGACAGCCAGGCCTCTGGCTTCACTACAGAGAACATAAGAGGTAATCAGATGTGCATACTTAACACATGGCTCAGGAACAAATATATCTTTGTTAATATGCACAGTTATCTTTTCCCCCCCTGTAGGACACTAACATTCAGCAGCTCCTGTCCCTCTTGTCCTCTTCCTTGTCCTAAGTCTGAAGAGCATTGTAGGTAGGGAAGACTTAAATAGAAAATCTTAAGAGGGAAGAGCTGCACTGACCTTTTCTCTGAAGATACATCTTCCCTGCATCCAGGAGACCAAAGAGAAATTGGGGACAGGTTTTTCTCACAAGGCTCTGCCACTGTTTCCACTTCATATTGATTGAGGAGATCACAGACCTTCTGGGCCCGACTCCCAGCCTCTGGAGATGGCACCCACGATGTGTTTTGGAAACTCATAAAATCTGATCCTTCATAAGCTACCTGGAAGAAGTCCTTTGGGCTCTCTCTAGAGTACAACTCACAGCCAGCATTCACTTGTATTTCGGATCTTGGGGAAGGGTGGAATGAGAAAATAATTCAAGTAAACAAAAGTTGAGATTAATGATATGAGAATCTAAGGGACTTATGTGGAAATGGAACAGTAGAATGATTTATAAGGGTATGAGAATGAGACAAATATGTCATAAATCAAGAACAAGAGAGAGAAAAAATTCTGAGAATGGGAAGGGTGCAATAAGACATAAAATCCTTGAATTAAAAGGAGATTGGTTTAAAGAAAGATTTGGGGAAATAATAGATGAGCTACATAATATACCATATAGTGAGGTAGGGTACTTAGGTAGGGAGATGGGAGAACAACATTTCATGATGCACAAAATGCACTTTAAAATTATGGCAGTGGTAATTTCATAATTTGTTAGATAATAATTGTATATTTCTGAATAAATTGAAGAAGGGGGAATTATGGTCTCATCCAGAACATAATTTAAGAAAGTCAAGCAGAGAATAAGACAATTGTCCCTGATGATTTAGGCAACGAAAGAAATCACAGGGGAAAATAACATAGCACAAGAAAAAATATTGCTGATTGTAGCAAAAGTCTAGAAAATGTTGGGTAAATGTCTGAAATATACTTGAAGAGTCTATGCATGTAGTGTTCTATAGTGCTATGGGATAATGAAGAATGGTGCAAAATTAGTAGAAAATATTTCTAACAATAAGAAGAACCATCTAAACAATTCCCCTAGTTGGGTGAACTTACATTCAAACTGAAACTGGCTGGCTATTTACGAATCTCCTGAGTTAATCCAATGAAGTACACACGGAATAGCAGCTCCAGGTCTGTCAAACTGTTCATCAGTGAAGTTGCCCTTGGACCAGGTATGCAGAAAAATTATTGATCCTGATTCACTCCCAGCCATGAGTCTGAATTCATTCCAACCAACCTGAGCCCTGATTTTGTCCCAAGATTGGTTAGCATAGGATGAGATCTGGGATGATATGAATGAGACCATATCATGGACCACTGTGAATAGAAGAAGGTAAAGCAGTAAAAGAGAAAAAGGAAGACAAACAGAACAGAAAGAAGATAGAAAATGAATCAGCTACCAGAGAAAGAAGTATAATGACTAGCTTGTAATAACATTTTCCTTTCACAGGGCCCCATGCTCTGGCACCACCTCAAAAAGAAAAACTGAACTTGGAGAGAAGCATCCTGGCTTAAGAAATGCATTTTGGGAAAGCCACCACACTCCACCAGATCCACAGCTGGGCAGCTGACAGAGATGTTCCGCATGGTTGCTGCTGGGAGGAGAAGAGTCAGCAGTAGAAGTTGAAGAAAACAGCATGTCATACGCAGATGTTTCTTTTCTCAGCAGAGCTGGTCTTTGATGTCTGACATCAACAAAGTAGCCTTCATAACTCTCATCTGACTTCCTTCTTGTGCCAACAGGCAATCATCTCAATAGCAACTGACAACAACCAAGAAATCTGTAGATTCCTCAACCGTGGGCTTCCCTCTCAATCTCTCATTTCCTCCAGATCTGAACTACAGTTATTCTCTCCTCTCTGAATTTCAACTGCTCTCCTTTTCACTTAGCTCTATCCTATGTTCTTCTCATCCTTAGCTGCCCCTGGATAAAGTGGTATGTGACACTGAAAGATCACTTCACTTATCAGGTCTTGAATGTTACCTATAAATAAAGTGCATGGTTGTCCTGATCCTGCTTTTTTACAGATCGTAAGTCTAAAAGTTTCTCAACTTAATTATGCCTCCATGCCCCATCATGCTTTCTTTCTCCTTTTGGATGTCCTAACCCTTACCTTCTCCTTTCTCATTACTTGATTCTCACTGGTTATTTTATAAATTATAAATTGTGTGTTCTCATATCTCCTATGACATCTTCCATGAACTCTCAGTATTATCACTAGAAATTGTAGCCATTCAGAGTTCACAGGCTGTACAAAAATATAAACATGCCCTTTTATTGAGTTTAGTCCATATATTCAGTCAGCAAAATTTCAGTTATCTCATGAGTGGTACCAAGTATCTTACCAAGAAAGTATGAACATGTAGACATTAACATTAACTCTCCTGTCAAAAACACTTGAAATTATTGAAGTATACTTAAATCAATTTCTAAAACACATTGTGATGATTGACAGTGCAGTGTATAGAATCCCAGATACAAATTTCTTTAGAACAATGTTTTCTAGAGAAGAATTTGACTACTAGGGAGAATTTTGACTATCTTGGGTATTCATAAATAAAATCCTAGAAGAGCACCATGTATTCAATCTGAGACCTAACTTTTGTTCTCTGTGCAATTGTGTAGGGCAAGAGGAAATGTTAATGAGGAAACCATCAACATCCATATTTAAGTTAATTTTGTGATTTGATCAAAATACATTGTCAAAAAGGCAGCATTTATCAATATTGAATTTATTTAATAATTCATGAGAGATATTTGGTGATTTGTCAGTAATCCTGACTGGCTAATATGTGGGAACAGATGAATACAAAATCCTTTTAAGACCCAAGCAATACATTTATTATTATAGTGTTCCTAAATTAATATTCACTGGTACAGAAAAGCAGTCACATAAAATCTCATTTGTAACATTATCTCCTTTTTAAAGAAACAAATGCACAATTTTATTTATATTTTATAGATTTATTTACTTTCCTTGTATTATTTACTGTACAAAACAAGTTGTTTTGATACACATTATGCCTTACTCAGAATTCTCAACACTAATAATGAGACTGGAAGTACTCTCAATAAGCTCTTCCTTTTATAACCACAGATAACTGCCAAATTGCATGAGCTACCAACATCCTTAAAAGCAATACACAATTAAAGCTCCACCCAAATCCTTCACCAGCACCAGCTCTCATCCTCGTCTGCATGTTGTCAGGGCAGCTCTTAGTCTGGATTTTATAATGCAACTGCAGATAACAATGGCAGGCATTTAACACATTTCCCCCTGTACCTATAAGAAAAGCACAATTCTCCTACTCCCTTATAATTGGTGAGAGCCATGGGACTGAGTTCTGGATAATGGAACTTGTGGTTCTGTACATATGAGTCACCTCCAAGTCTAGCCATATAAAATTGTCCATCTAATCTACTTGCCCTGCAGTATCAGCTTCCAGATGACAGAGCAGGGAGATGGAGAAGGGCTGCCTAATGCATTATATTTGCCTAATGAGGAAACTAGTTTCTCAAGAGGGAGGGAGAAGAGGAAGAATAATGGAGGGATGAATCAAGCTGGAGTACATCGTACACCTATATGGAAATGTCACAATAAAACCCCATGTGCAACTATAATTTACTAATAAAAAGGTTTTTAAAAAATAAATAAACCAATTTCTCTAGGATTCTAAAGTTTATTTATAATAGCAACACATCTTAGCTGTCTTGGCTAATTTTATAAAGCCCTATAAATAGCATCCTTTCCCTCTCTTGAATTCAGAATCAAGTGAATAAAAGATAGCATGATAGAGATGATCAAATTGTCAATCTTGTTTAATGGAGCTGTAGATGATCTGCCTTGAGCATATGATCCAAGTCATTTTTGCAAGTATTGAATCCCGAAAGAGTGCCTTATTTACTGTTATGGACTGAATGTGTGTGCTCTCCAAAATTTGTACTAAAGCCCTCACCCTAGTTTGGTCACGGTGGGTCCTCTAAGAAGTTGTCAAGATTAAATGAGATTCTAATGGTGAGGCCCACATCTAATAGGATTATGTTCTTATATGAAAAAGACCCATAGAACTAGTTTCTCTCTGTCTCTCTGTCTCTGTCTCTCTTCTGTCTCTCTCTCTCTCTCTCTCAAGGAAAGGCATGTGAGCATGCAGCAAGAAGGCAGCAGTCAACAAGCCAAGAAGAGAGCTCTCACAGAAAACCAAGTCTGTCAGAAACTTGATGCTTAAACTCTAGTTTTCAGAACTGTGAAACACATGAATTTCTTTTTTTGGCCATCAGTCCTACTGTAATTTGTGATAGTAGCCAAGAGGGCTAAAACATTCAGTTTGGGCAATGCTGGAAAACCTCTACCATTGTGAGTGGCTATTCTTGGTGAGTTAGGGCATAGAGCAGAGAACACAATGGATGTATCAGGAGCAATTTGATTTCAGAAGTAGTGGGGGAATGGGTGCAGAGATATATATGTCCAGTGTCTCTCCTGGGTTCACCAAGGTGATAATTCACTCTATCATCATAGGAAACAGTAAAATTGAAACAAAAATGATTTGGCTGAACTTCTCCCCCAAGGGAACTAAAAGAGTAGGTACATCCAGCCCTTCCATCCCAGACATTTAGAAATCCACTCCTATGGAAACTACCTCTCCTTTACTCCCACAGTGACTTCTGCCATCTCTCATATCTAGCCTCACTCATTCTGTTTTTGTACCTGTGACCTAGATTGCCACCACAGTCCCTTAACGAAGCATCACAAATCTCTCTTGTCTATTCATCTTTCTGCTTCTTGAGTTAGTACATGAAATGCAAACCTGGTTATATCACCCTCATGCTTAAAACACTTCTTTAGCTTTCATGAAAACAATCTAAATGTCTAAGTGTGCCAAGTTTACACATAAAGGCTTTTGTATACCAATCTCAAAGAAGATGAGGTGGTGGTGTAAAAAGGAAAACTTGCAGACTCCTCATTTCAGATTCAGGAATCTGTAATTTGTATAAAATGTAATGGGGAGAAAGGAAGGTGGGTATATAAGTGCTCCAGACACCCAAAATCTTAAAAGAATGATTCCAGATGAGTGGGACTTTCATGGTTAGAACCCCAAATAGCATAGGGTTCAGCTACTCTGGGGAAGCTCAGTATTTTTTTTCTCAAACTCCAACTTCCCAGGTTCCTCCTGCTCAGTTGATCAGACCACAGAACCTTCATGGTAACCCTCGCTTGGGCTTTTATAGATTCTCTCCTAAGTCTCCAGAGGATGATTTTGGTTTCCTAAGAGACAAAGCCTTCTTAGGACTCTGAGGTCATATCCCATCCCACATGGTCTCATGTACTGCTTTTCATCCTCTTCCCCAGAAGGAGAAACCTCACCCTACGTCTACTTCTCTACTAGAGAAACCCCACCACCTCCCACAACTACCTGCCTCTTTCAGGGCCTTTCATTTCCCTCAGCTCAGCTTCAAGTTATTATCTCCCTTTCCTCGCACAGTCCTGTCTCTCGCCTCCCTGCTACCCTCTCACATATACTACGGTGTGTAATAGGTCCCAGCAGAGAGCTAGGATGAATTCTGGCCAGAACCTTGCTAGCAACCACTAATGTCCCACTATAAAATGACTGGATTAGTACTCGATATTCTCAACATCCATTTAAATTTTAAACAATCTTTAACTTGATTTTATTCTTATTCATTTCTCTTTACCTAGTACTTATTCTTTCTGTGTTTTCTTCTCTCATATTGTTCTCTGTCTACCCTTTTTCTGAGTTCCCTGGTCTCCATCTACCTTAAACTCCAATTTCTACCTATTGCTTCATTCTAAAGCACTTCTTCACCTTGGCTAAATTTCAAAAACCTAAAGAATTGCCTTTGCTGGATCCTTAGATTTCTGTGTGTAAATATATGAATTACAAAATGAACAAGGGAACAAACTACAACACACACATATGTGTATACATATATATATACTGAATAAGCTATAATACTAAAAATTGTTTATACATGAAAATAAATAAGGCACAAAATAAAGAAGTCTGTAAGAAACAAAACAGAGAGGGAAATGGAAAACTGGTATTGAGGTTCCCACATTGTAGAGATTTTGCAATAATTTGTATCCACCTATAAACATGCAAGTTGGAAGAGATCCTCTACTATACCCTTAACAAAATTAGTTAAGCAGGGAAAGTTCATAAAATGCAAAGAAAGATAATAAGAATATTGTGGTCCCTTAAGATCTGGTTAGAATTTTTTAAATTGTTCTTATAAAATTTATAATCCAGGTTTGCCCTCACATGAGTTTGGAGTTATAAAAAAGTTTCTACCTGTTATACAATGTGCATTCCCAAGAAATTAACAATAAAAACTTGC